CGCGCCTTGGCGCCCTGCGGCCTGTGGGTGCCGGGCCCCCTGCTGCCCGGCCAGCCTGGGCACCCGCAGCCTGTTGGTGCCAGTCCCCCTGCTGCCCGGGCAGCCTGGGCACCTGCAGCCTGTTGGTGCCAGTCCCCCTGCTGCCCGGGCAGCCTGGGCACCTGCAGGCTCTGCAGTAGGTGAGGCTTCAGTCACTCGGCGAGCAGTGCAGCCTGCAGTTGTACAGCTGGTGGGCACAGGCTGGTAGGAACAGCAGCAGTGCTACTCAGGGCTAACTGCTGTAGAGTCACAGCTTTCCCTTTCAGTCCAAGTAAGAGTGAAAGCCAAAGGAGGTGTGTGTTTGCTTTGAGTCATAAATAGGAACTACACTGGTAGACACTCCAGATTGTTAAATCTAGATGATGTCTAGGAGAACATCACTGAAAAAAGCAGTGGGCAGTCACTTAAAAGCCCCCTGGGATGAATTCCATGTTGAAGGAAAGCTGCTGATGCCTTACAGGAGGTGTTAGAGTAGAAAACATGCTTCTCATAATAGAATATCTGCACACCAGAGTAGTACTGACCAGTAAGGAATCCACTTCTGAGCTTGCTGGGACAGATGGCAGAACTTTCACTGGCTTCGATTTCATACTGGGTGACTCCAGAACAGGAGGAATATAGTCTTAGCTCTGTGTTTGCCCAACATATGCCATATGACTAGGAAGAGGAGAATTTGAGGCATTGTTTCCTGATGTAGTGGTTGAAAAAATCAGCTGGGGGGAAGTCTGCTGCAGGCTGTATGGAATTCTTAAAACAATATTTTGCTTTTTCAGAACCCATTCACTGTGTGACGATGCGTCTTCAGAACTGCAGAGAGTCATTTCTGTGGAGGGAAGGCATGTATCTGAATCCCAGACAAGCTCTTTCACAGGCAGGGGAGCAATGGCAAGGTAACACACTAACTAATGCTATTTCTAGTATTAAGTTTAACTTGTTGGAAGAAGCTGATCACAATTTGGAGGCAAAGTAAGAAGAACCATTGCTTTCCAAAGAAAATGGACAGAGTCCAGATGTAGGAATTCTATAAAAAGTAACAGAAATTGCTTTTGACATTGGTTCTGAACTTGTCACTTACTCATTGCTAATAAAAATTTTAGAATCCTAGAGATGCTGTGAGCTCACGCAAACTAGTCTGAATAAAAAAAAAAAAAGAAATCTTTACATAGTTAGATCTTAAAATATATTTAACACTAAGGAAATGCATGAAGACTGTAAATAGCTAAATAAATTGTTCTGGCCAATGGAGAATAAACTTGTATTTCCCTGTTTGATTGTCAGATAGTGACACCACTGCAGATAGATTGCAAAGTCAGAATGAAGTTGGTCTTAGGTGGAAAACATTTATAGGTGTGTGTTTTGTGTTAACATAAAGCACATGAACATAGAAATTTGTACTGAGAACTTCCTTTTTAATCTTTATGTTGTTTTTAGCCTTTTTCAGGATAGCTTGAATTACATGTGTGTAGTTATAGTTACTTATGTTCTGAAAGTACAAGGAAGGCTGTGATGAAAACATGAATACTTAGCGATTTAAATATTATGGTAACATAACATACCTCTTGAATGTGAATTTTCAAAGGCCTAAGACAACTGATGGACTTCACTGAGTATCTTATTCTGAGATGTAAAGGACAAAAAAAAGAAACTAACATAGCACAGCATGAATCAGAAAATTCTATTTCTTTATTCAAATAGGGAGGCTCTCAGTCTTATTTGGTAAAATCTCTTTACTCCTTAACTAACAGGTCTCATCAAAATTGTTTATTTTCTAGTGGAAATAAGAACATACACATTAAGTAGTTTTCCATACCACTCCTTATGTGAAAGCTGAGTTCTGCTCAGGCAACAAGAAAAATTCTGTAGCTTAATTTTAGGCAGGTTTTTTTTTTTAATAGAATGAGGAATCTATTAAATAATCTCAGACTTTTATGTAGAGCTTTTCTTTTCTTTTGCATTCTTGGTAGGCTTTGAGCTCTTTTAACTGTTAGCAGTTGTAGGTGATTTATATGATGCTATCTTGATATAGCACTAGAGAACTAGAAATACCTTTTTCTGATTTCTCATACATGATATTATTCCTGCCTTTTTTGTCCTTTTTATTTCAGGTTAAGAGAATGGGGTAAGGTGTATGAGGAAGTGTAGTTGGGCCTCTGAGAGCTGCAATCAAGAGGCAGATGTATTTTAAATTGTTCATATCAACCTCTTTGTGGATGCTGAGCATATGCAATACTAGCTAATGCAGAGAGAATGTAAAGAGCTTTCCTTGAGTAGCCCAATGTCTCTGTAAGAAATTAAGCATTGTTCAGGATTTCACTACACTCTTTTCAAGGCTTTTGTAAGTTTGGAAAACCTGAATTAACACCACTTTTGTCCAAGCTAGACTGCTGATAGAAAATAACCCAATGTATTGTGTGGGCAATAAATGTAATCACTTTTGTAGATTTCAGTCTCCATTATTTTCAATTTTTCAGAAACACATTTCATTTTGAACTTTGACAGAAAACACTGTAAGGATTTGTAATGTGAATTAGTGAGTAGAGAAAAAGATACATAATGATAGAGTGAGAAATTAACTTCATTGTCATGCTTTTTTGCTTATCTCGTTTAAGTGCTCTGCTAGAGATTTAGGATGAGGAAAGAAGGTTTATATCTGATAGGGAATTTGTACGACTGCAGACAGACCCTTTAAAAACATGGGAAAAGTGGATGAATTTTTATAATTTCTAATTTCAAAGTCCATCCTCCCTCAGCAGCTTTTTTTTCCCCACTGTGTGTACAAGCCCTTGAGCACATGGTCCTGTGAGCATTTTATATATTCTAATTCTGTCAGTCCAGAATTCCCCCATTACCAGGTAATGTCATAAGTTAGTCAGAAGTCAACTGCCCCAACCACTTCCTTTGACCCCAGTTGGCAAGAATATTCTTCTGTTGCTCCTGCAGTGCTGGTATGGTGGGCTAGGAACTGATGTGTGAGATACTTTCCTGATCCACCACAAAAGATGATGTATGAAATTGTGGGAAGTGACTGGGTTCACACAGTTAATCCATCAAGTTTAATTTCACAGCAAGTGGAGAAGAATTCTGCTGGGTTACTCCTTGTGGGGCTGATTTAAGCCGTCTGATGTCCTCACCTGTTTCAGTGAATGCTGTGTGTCTGTTCGTGCAGGCTATCACGATTTGTCATGTCTGTGAGGTCATGGGCCACGAGACATTTGCACCGTGAAGACCAAAGACCTGATTCTTTCCTAGAACGTATCCAAGGGCCAGAGCTGGTAGAGGTGTCCACCAGACAGAGTAACATCCGCTCCCTTCTGGGCATCCGGGAGCGACCTGGGGGTGCACACAGGTAAGAAGATGTGTTTATACTTTAAATGAAGATGGCTGAGGTTATGCTTTTTTCTTGGTGATGAGGATGTAAGTTTTATTTTAAGAAGAGGGTAAGGATCTTAGCATGGGAGATGAGCAGAGTTTCTAATGCTGCCCAGGAATCTTCCTGTCTTATGGCTTTTGACAGACTTTCTCTTTCCTCCTCAAACGCACTGTGGCAAACATCTTGAAGGAAAGGACTCTGATCACTGTGCTTCAGGCAGGGTGGTTTCTCAGAACTGGAATTTTATCATGTGCTACTTCTGCAACTTGATGTTACTAAACTGCTCTCTACTGAGGATGAATGCAATTTCTATTCCAAGAATTGAGGATGTTGCTTGTTGTGGCTTCTGATGCAGAAATGAGAAAATCTTTTGGCTGCTGACTTAAGTTATTAGGACAATACTCAGTCTTTGGTATGGAAGGCAGGCTCAGTCTTATCTTAAATTTTTTTCCCATGAAACAACAGAGGGTGGCAAGAGAAAACTTAATATACTCACAGTCTTTTGACTTGATGAATTATTATTACTTTATCAATATATTATACAGTGTTTTAAACTTCAGCTAAAAGAGGAAAGTCCCAAGACAAAAGTTGACTTTCTGTTTGGCACTATGCTTTGAAGCATAGACTCACGTATTTTTTGTGTTGATTGGTAGGTAAACAAGTAATAAGTTACTTTGTTTCAAGATCTCAGGTAGTGATTCAGATTAAAGCAAGAACCCTTGAAGGGCTTTGCATGATGTGGGTTACCTTGATTTGTTGGCGTCCTGCACAGCCTTATTATCTTCACTTGATCTGCTCCTTAGAAATTCAGCTCAAAAGCACATTTTGTTGAATTAGCCAGACTGGTGTCTGATTTTTCGCACATCTGAATCGGGAGCAATTGCAGATTTGAAGTAATTAGAGAGGACCACGTTTATCCTGGGCCATCAAACCTCTATCTGAGGCTATTAGGAGAAGTAGATTTGGGAGTATCCACCTTTGCCTTCTCGGTTTGATGCCGTTGCCACGTGACAGCAACTCACGGTTCTATCCCGAAGGCTTAATTCTGCAGCAGTGATAGGGAGGTATGCTTGGTACTTATCCACAAGCCTTCACACTGCATCTGTGAAGAAGACTTGAAAGGATTGAAGAAGGCTTAAAATAGTAGCCAAATGAGTACAGGGATAAAAATAGTGGGATGCATGTTGCCACATACTGATAGGCCTGAGAACAAGCTTCGGACATTAGATGTGGTCACAAATGTGTGTGACAAACACATGGTAAAAAGAAACTGGTGTCTTGACATAGTTATGCAAAGGGGCTTATCACTGCAGTTAAAGTTGACCTTCCTAATCTTATCAGTGCATATGTGAGAAGTAAGTCAGTCCATCATGCCAGTAAACACATGTATGAAATACCAACAGTCTTTACACTCTTTAATGTGTTTTATTTAACTTGCTGCAGTCACTGGCCCCTGGCCAGGTTGAATGTCAACTATAGCAACAACACCAACGAAGAGTAAGTACTGATAACTTCCAAACACCTTCCTCCTACTAGCTCCTCCTTTTCCCTTTCCATCCCAGTAACATTTGTAGTGTAAACTCCTTATCTCTTCCTAAGCCTTTCCTAAGAATATAGTTTAATTATAAAGAAAGATCTAGTTTTCTTAGTATGCAAAGCATCCCTCATGCTCCCTGAGGACTTCTTTTTGTCCGAAGTTACCCTTACCTCTCAAGGAGTGAATTTGATTAAGTGTTTAGTCCCTACCTCCTCTAGTTCAGCTGGCTGATTTTACTGCATTGACAACTGATTCATTAATTCTTCAGTTTTTAAATGAGATTAATATTCTAATTACATATTCTAATAGTGATTTTCCCTTTTAATGCACTAGTCTCTTTTTGCAAATCAAGTGCCCCCAAAATTTCAGACTGTCAAATGAGAAGTGGGTACTGATCAGGGTACCAAGAAACCACTCGTGTGCAGTCTAAATTAAAACTAACCATCCTTCTGAAATGTGTGTTTCAGTTCAGTAGATATTGTTGCTGTAGACGTAGAGAGAGTGACAGGCAACATAGTAAGACTTGCATTGCAACAGAAGCTCTGACAGAAGCTGTTCTTTGGAGTCTATGGAGTCTATCTTTGACAAGGTATTTCACAGTGTTACACCAAAGAGAAGTCTCTTGAAAAGGTGAAGTGCTCCTGTAAACCACTCAACACCGGTGTTTATTGCATGCCTTCAAACACAACTGTCTGAGGATATAGCTCCTCTGTAGCATCCAGCAGCAGATGTGTTCTCACACATGATGATGGTTAATTTTTTTCATTGCTTTCCATGAAAGAGGAAGACAAATTTAAAAAAAAATAAATCAGTGCAGTTTCTGATTGTCAGAAATACTTTTAGGAAACTCTTGGCTTTTTTTTCTCCAAATAGTTCCATCACAGGCTAGCTCAAACTGTACATTTTACATGATGCAGAACTTTTCTGCAGATACCTGAACAAGAGGACTTCCTGCTCCTGATGCCACTTTGTTGGTTTTGTTGGTTTGCATAGCTTTTATTAAAAAGGAAAATAACTGCAGTCAACAGTGACAGAAATGTGCAGAATTTTGTTTAGACTGGTATAAAAATGTGCTGAAGCCTGGAGCCTAGCCTGCTGGTCAGAACCCAAAGGGCTGATTTGGATGGAAATACTGCCTTCTTACTTGGTTCCTGACAATGACTCATGTACCTGGGGCAAAACTTTCATCCTTCCAATATTTCATTTCTTTTAAATGAAGACAACACCTTTCTGTCTACCTGCCTGACAGTCTGAAACATGCTTCATTTGCATGTACTTGACAGATGAGAAATACAAATGTCTGACTCATTTGAAGACTGTGACAGTGTTTTCAAATGGGCTGATGGAAACATGTTTTCTAAGCCTGAAGATGTATGCTCCTTTTAATATTCTGGAAACATGGAACAGATGCCACTGTATTGCTGTGAAAGAGGACAGGCACAAACAACTGGTTCATTAGTTACTGGGTTCCAGTTTACTCTGTAGCGCTAATAAAGAATAAAAAAAAGCAGGTCTTTTTGAAGCTTTGGGTTTTTCATTATGTTAAAGGCGTAAGAGTTCCTGCTTTTGGGGAACTGTAGGTGATGTTTTCAAGTCTTTGGCAGTGGAAGTCAGAGGAAAAGGTTGGCCACAATCAGACTATAAGTAGGTGGGAGTATGGTAAGTTGGGAGTTACCACAACAGAAAGATGATCTGAGGCCACAGAAATGAAAGAATCTGGCTTATGAAAGATACCTGGAGTTGAAAGATGAATTTGTAGGACATCTCAGGCCAGAGAAAAAGGCATTAGATGATGTGTGAAACAATGTTTTTTCTCTTTGTTAAAAAAGGAAAGAGTAGGAGGAAATTGGAATTGTCAAAATATTATCTTCAAAGTTTGCCACTACTGAGAATTTTTGGTGGGTTCATCCATAGATGTACAGTGGCCATACCCTTTGAAACTTATGTCTACTCATAGTTCTTCCTTTCTGGTAAGAATGCCAGACATTTAAAGTATTAGGGAGCTATGTTAATGCTAACAACAGCAACTGTGAGTTGACCTTTAGATGAGGCACTGTGCATAGTTACGGGCAGTGAAACCTGGACATGTTTTTTTAATAGGAAGGAGTTTCTTTAAGCAGATTTGAAAAAGAAGCCATAAAGGCCAGGCAGAGTCAGTGGCAGAGAAATAAATACTTGAGTGTAAGTTCCCGTGGGTGTGTGGAAGTCAGCCTTGGTAAATGAAAAACTGTTCTTTGAGTCGAGAGATATCTGTAAATAGAAGATCAGCCAACCCAAAGGTTCTTTTCTCCAGTTATGCTCCCTTGCAGAGTATAATTCTAGAGGTTTCAGTGGTGTTGGTGAGCTTGGCAGGTATCTCCCTGGACATGGAGGAGTGTAGGATCTCAGCATCTGTTAGCAAGTGAGTCTGGACTTTTCCTAATTACACGGTGATGCTGCATCACTATGGAAATGTCTAAGGGCAAGAGTTGGAACAGGTGCTAATTGCTGATAGGTGAAAGCTGCTACTATCCTGAAACTGGTGACTGTTGTCTTCTTCCTTGGAGTGCTTCCTTCTCCCTGTAACAAGCATATTCATGGGCAGGCCTCCCATTCACAGCGTAGACATTTTCTTGTCTGAATAATAGAAGTATACATGAGAAGCACAAGTGAGCTCACTAAATTGTTTACCTGTTGTTTCAAATCCTTTAAGCAGCACTTCTTCAACAGTGATTATGTATTCTGTCTTTGCTGTGGGACATTGCTGTCATTGAACTAATTTGTCCATTATTGACTGCAGTGCAAGGGACAATCCAACTCAGTTGTGGCAGACCAGAGGATTGCAGGAGAGTGTAGCTGCCATGGGAGCAGGAGTCCAAACCAGACCTTAGCATGGAGAGTTATGTTTGTGAATGCATCATCCACATACACTGTAGTGTCAGGAACATTTAGGCTTTTCTGTCTAACCTGTGGGGACACTTCCTGCTTCAAGAAATGAATACATTTCCAGTACAAAAGAAGATCTCAGATGATGGATTTTCTGCTTGTGTAAACGAGTGCCATTCTTCAGCTTATGATTCTTGACTAATGCATGTAACAAGTTTAGCTCTAAGATTAAATACTGACCAAATCAGGGAAGACATTAGCTTTCTGCAGTTCTGAAGAGGATGCATTGGCCTCTGTGAAAGTTATCATAGCTCAAGGCTCTTCTGTTCATATAAATCTAAGAATAGGAGAAGTCAGATCCTTCTTTGTATCTGGATTACCACATTCTAATGAGCTAAAGGCTGTATATACTTAAAGAATATGAAAATACATATCTGGAATTAAATCTTACAGCTTGGGTCTGTGCTGGATATTGTGGCATGGTAGGATATAATTATGTTAAATGGTCTGTATTTTATTTATTGCATTATTTAACTTTATTGCATGAAAAGCAATTAATAAACGTGGGGACAGTCATGATTCCATTGTCTAGGCAAAATTCCCATTATTTTAGCAAGGATGGAACTTCATTCTTAATGCTCAGCCTTTGAATCCTGTGGCAGTCAAATACATGTAGAGCAACGTGGATGTGGCTCCTGTGACCAAACATGGACACCTGCATCTGAACCAGGCAACCCATTCTTCCTTTCCAGGTGATGGAAAGAAAAAAATGCTTTTACAGGGCACAAGTCATCTTACAGATACAGACTATCTCACAGATAACAGTAGATCTCTGCTGTAGAGATCTAAAATAGATTGGCTCAATTTTGTTGACTATAGAGCATTTATAAAATGACAACTAATGTAGTTAAATGAGGCAGACTTCTTTTCTATGCATTTGCTGCTTTTGTTCAGACACTGACTGGGATTCTTCTCCAAGGCAATAGTTGAAACCATAGGTAATTAATTAGTAGCTAGGTTAATTTTTAAGAACTGTGAGAGGAAATTTAGCATAATTTCTTTTAATTACCATTAAAATTCAACAGTCACTGTGGGGCTTTGGATGTGCAAAAAATGTTGTTGACAGTTTGTGAAGCCATTTCAAGTTCTATTATAACTTGATAGATCTGTGTTTAAATGCCTGAATTCTTCAGAGTGATACAAACTGGAAGCATTTGATTAAAATCAGCCTGGTACACTGGTGTCTGAAAAAGTCAAGAAAGTGTGGGTGACTAATGCACAGAATCAGCCAGCTGGTTACCTGATGTGACAGAGTGGTAGTGTCAGTTTGAGAGGCCTCAGCCTGTGAACCACTTTGACCAGTTAGATTCCTCCCCTACCCTGTCTGGAGTCTAGTCTAGTTTCCTGTATCTTAGCTTCCACCCTCTCCCTTAACTGCCAGAATATCAGTAATATTGTAAGCCTTACGTTATGTTGTACAGCAAAAAGGAAGAAAAGAAAGAGGTTAAAGAGGAAAAGAAAGAGGAAAAGAAAGAGGAGAAGAAGGAGGAAAAGAAGGAGGAAAAGAAAGAGGAAAAGAAAGATGACAAAAAAGATGACAAAAAAGATGATAAAAAAAAAGAAGAGTAAGTATGAAGAATGAATGTGTGCTTGTAACACACCCCCTACACTACAATACATGGTGTGGCACTTTATCAACACTTTTGTAACAATTATTGTTCTGTAGGCTGCACAGCGTTAGCCTGTCAAATCCTTAATATGTTTTCCCCTCTGGAAAGGTGCAGCTGCTCAACAAAATCTTGCATCTTTAAGACCTGTGTTTAGACATGTCATGAACAGCTTCCTAGATCAGTAAAAGGGAATTCATCTACCTCTGGTCACATTGATTGGCTGTTGAAGATCCATTTTTTTACTATGAAGGCATTTCTAGGATAGCAGCCTGTTTTGCAGATCTGCACAGGCTTTTCACTGTTCCAGAATGTCCATGATGATTCAGAGCAGATGAATCAAAAGTCTGGTTTGGACAAAGAGCAAAAATCTTACATGTAGAAAATTACAGATGTATTCATAAGTTTAGTTATTACACTATCATATTTACTTACTCAATATTCTCAATATACTCAGTTCATTACTAGTGATCACTAAATTTTGCTGTATTTTTTCAAAAACGTGATAATTTGAATGCTTTTGGCAGAAATGGATCCTGCTCTTGTTTTGTTCCCCCAAAGCTGACTCAAACAAATTAGTATTGCCAGTCATTAAAATAACAATGGTAGCAGGTAAAAAGAGAATGCATTTGAGTAGACTTCACAGTTCCAGAGCCTGTTAGAGAAGTATAATGTGAGTTTATATGTATGTATATGGTGGCATGTGCTATGTAAGCTTGAGGACATGTAGTTAGGAATTGCTTCCAAACGGAGTCGTCTTGATCTCAAGATCTTGACTTTCGTAGTCAGAGCTTTGGTTGGAAACCCTTTGTTCTGAGGATTCTCTTTTGGCTTCAATTACTGTGTAGTGAGAGCCTGAGCTTCGCAGTAGCCAATGGCATTTTAAAATGTTTCAGCAAAGAAAGTAAGTGTTTTAATGTCTAGAAGGCAGTGTAGTCTGTCATATGAAGACCATTCTTCATGGTCACCAGTTTTGAGGTGGTGACCAGTTTTTTAGAAGAAATGGCTCAACACCTGTCGTGAAGATGGTGAAGTAAATACTTCCTAGATTAAGGCTGCTTCCTTTACTAACTTTAGCATCTGGACATTCATCTGAGAGCAGGGGTAATGCCAGAAATATACACAAGTGTCAAATAAATGATCATTACATTTTAATCTATTTATGTTTTTTGAGATTAGGAAAAGTCACACAAATATATATCCAAGCATTGCCTGGTCACATAATTCCCACACTATTGTATGGTCCACAGGTCACACTATCACCTGTAACTTCTGCAGCTGAGGGCCTCACAATCCTCTAACAGGCCTTGCCTCTGATTCCACACAACATGCTGAATTGCTCTTAGTCCATACCAACCTCTCTCATGCTGAGGAAGAGCACTTCTGAGCATCCTCTACATGTGCCATTAGCCGTGCTGTTCTTTAAATCTTCTTTAAATTCCAGGCCTGTACGCTTCATTTGAGATCTTTTCATTGTTAGGAGGCCTAGGGAGCCAGAACAATGAATGTGTGAATTTTGCCTTTACAGAATAATACATTTTAATTCTAGTCACACACTCTATGTCTGTACGTACACACAGAGTCTTAATTGTATAAACATGTTTTTGAACACATATGTGTCTTCTTTAATTGAATGCTCATACAGTGTTTTCTGTGATAGGTTTTGCCAAATCCATCAAAATTAGTCTGCAAAGGCTGGTTCTTTGTCTAGCAATAGACCATAGCCTCCTAGCTGGAATGATGATAAGAAACATTTAACATTTTACTTTCTTTTCAGTGGGCGTGATATGCTGAAGGGCTGAGGGCTTCAGCCTGGACAATGTGAATGTTGCTGGTTTTCTCTCCACTCTTAACTTCTTTTTCCAAAGTTTGGTCAAGCAAATAAATACAGCAAGTCAAATGGGCTGAAGCTAATATTTGGTATCTCACTTGGAGCTGCCTGCATGGATACTTTCTCTTCTTAGGCAGCGCAGCTGTGAGTTCATCAGGAGATGAGCAGGCTCCAGAAGAGGGAGATCCAGCAGGGCACTTTACTGCATTTCCAGTGTAAAACTGCACATTTTACTTTCCAGGAAGAAAAAAGAGATCTATGTGATAGATCCTTCAAGCAATATGTACTACAACTGGCTGACCATAATTGCAGCACCCGTGTTCTATAACTGGTGTATGCTAGTGTGCAGGTATGGGTTTCTGTTAATTATTTTAGGTTTCAGTTTTAGTGTCTCCTCATGTTTCCTATGTTAATTATCCTTTTATCTCCCTGCAATACTTTTTTGGATGGCTTACCCAGAAGTTATGTGGTTCCTGTACCCTTAAGGAATGTACGATATACATACCACTGAGAAGAGATGGCCAGAGTTTTCTTTTTTGTCTAAAACCAGTTTGTTGTAACTTGCAAGGTGTCCTCATGATCACTGGCTGTGGCTTTTGTGTGCCACCTACTGGCTAGTGCAGGCTTGTGCCTTGGCCACTGTGGGCTCAGTAACCACTGCTAAGAATAGGGATTCCAGTCACCCAGTCGAGTACAGAAGGGAGGGATGTGGGCACTGTTGGGTCATCTTAGTTTAACGTCACGCATCTATAGATGGTTGAAGGGCGGGAAGATTTTACTCAATGTTTATTTTCCCCAGTGTGATGTGGAAATCCATTTGAATAAAGCAGTGGGTGTGCTGTGGAAATGGGGCACTTGGGCTGTGCCACATGGCAGGGAGAGATGAGGATGGCCTGCCACCCAGAACTGGGAATTATCTTAATGGAGATGTGTATCCCATGAAATCAGATGCATCTTTAATTGTAGTGGTATGTGTATCCCTCCATAAGCCTGTGCCCTTGTGGGACATATATGTGTTTGAGTTTTGCTCCTGGCCTAAACACTCCTGAATTCTGAAAGATCCTGGTGTCTGTTTAGACGTAGCTCCAGTGTGCAGATGTCTAGGCGTGGAGATATGCTTCCCTTAATTTTTCCATGCCAGTAATGTGCACTAACATGCTGGTAGGACACACATTGCAAGTACTCTGCTTACGCAGTCGGTGTAATTTTTGTTTCTTTCTTTCTTTGTCTCTTCAGAGCCTGCTTTGATGAGCTCCAAGAAGACCATATCAAAGTATGGCTGTTCTTGGACTATGCCTCTGATGTCATTTATATTTTTGACATGTTTGTCAGATTCAGGACAGGTGAGTCTTTCTGGGATTTTACAATATTTTCAGACACATCATGGATATAAAGGCTGGAAAAAGAGATTATCTTGTGGCATCTGACCAGTGTAGTATCCTGTCTCCAGCAGAATGCAGCAGTGGAGGCTTCAGAAAGCTGAAGTGGCTGACCAGCTTGGATTGTTTTGATGCTGGGCAACCAAACACCTGCACTTCACTTGTCTCTTGACTCAGTTCCATCGGTGCTTACTATAGGTGTGCCAAACCCTGACTGATAGCCACGGTGACAGGCTGCGGGGAAGGAGACTAAGGCACTTTGCACGTCATGATCACTCTGCCTGATACATTGCTTGTGGTCATTAGATTGGGCAAGAAACCAGCTGCACCCTTCAAGTGCTGCTTTCTTAGCCAAGCTCTGCAGCGTCCTGCTCAGAGGTGACTGCTGAGTTGGTCAAGTGCAAGACCTGGCACCCATCTGGAACTCCAGCCTGCAGCCCTCTGCCTGGAACTGGCAGTGCTGCCCCTCTGCCACCAGCTGTCTGTCCTGCAGCCTCTGCGAGATCCAGCTGGGCCTTCCACTGCCTGCTGCTGGTGCAGGGCTAACCCAGGAGGGTGGTGATTTGGGGTTAGCCCAGGCACCCCTGCTTAGGTCCTGCCTTCCTGAAGGAGGTGTGAACCTACAGGATCTGTGAGGACCATGCCACGTCATGCATGAAGTGGTTCTCTTCAGTATCCCACCCCTGTTTCTGCAGACCAGACAGGCTGACAAGATTTCATATTTGAGCATGCCCAGCTGATATAGATTCTAGCCTTAAAGGAACATCTATTTTAAACTAAACAAGGTCATAATATAGGCCTAAGAAATTACTTAGGGTAATCCATACTGTTAAATCAATAGAATAGTTCTTGATGTACCTTTGTGCATCCACTTTGGTCTATCCAGCCAGCACTCTCTCAGGCAATGTCTGGGCACAGCTGGAAGGCAGCAGAGGGTGGGTATTGTTCATGCTGTCATCTTTGGAGAGGGCTGGGAGAACTCATGTGTAAATAGAACCAGAAAATGTTTCCTGGCTTTTCCTATTTACTGGTGAGGACATGGCCCCAGAATGTCCCTTGGAAGAGCCCAGAACCTCACTAAGCATTATAAAAATGAGAGTTCTGTTAAATCTTTAAGTTTCTTTTTTATTTTTTTTTTTAAATCATGATGTCAGTATGACATTAATTATAGTTTGTGACAAGGTGTAAACATAATTACAAGACAGAGGCTAAAAATGCTGTCACATTGGGAAGCACACAACTCACAGCAAGCTAAATTCTTAAACTTATCAAGTACCTTGTTGAGCAGGAAAGTCTGTTTCAGACAGCAGCCTAAATCACGACTGGTGTATTTGGGCTGGGGCAGAATAGGCTCCATCTGCTTTGTGTAGTTAAAATGTCAACTGTGCCAACTAAATTTCTCTTCTACAGTGTATATCTGTTATTGTAACGGGAAGAACTGAGCAGAAATTGGGCATGTCCAGGCAATGCAAGTTATGAAATTTCCATAGCCTGTCCTGGTAGTGATTGTATGGCTGTTAGAGCGTGGTTAGAAGGTTGGCATTGCAGGCCTAGGTTGGAACTGCAGAACTGCTGCACAGATCTCCTGAATGCTTCAGTGCTGGTGTCTGCTGCAGATTCAGGCACTCAGATAAGGAAGTCACTTCTTTTAGGTGCTGAAATCTTTGTTCACTCTGTTAACAACCCCTCCTGGCTCTGCCTGTGCCTGCTGCCTTTCCCTGCAAGTGTGCAAGGTCCATCTGCCCTGGGGACAGAGGTCCTGGAAGCCTTTGGGGAAGAGGGACTGGCCTGGCTTTGAACTGGGAGCTAGGTAGCCCTGCAGCCACCGTGATCCACATGAGCCTCTCTGTGGAGCATTCCTGTCTAGCTGCAGGGCCAGTTCCACTGTTTACCACCTGTGAGGTGACTGTGCACTGTGAAACAGGAAAGATTCATGTCTCTCAGCAGCTGGTCATGTTTAGCATACCCCACAGTTTGATGCTCTCAAAAGGTTTTACTATAGGACTTCAGTTCTGTGAGGGAACAATGGGAGCTGAGAGGCTTTTATCTCCCTTCAGGAGGAAGGGGTTTTCAGAGTTATTTTTAAAACTTATGAGTCAGAAATCCATCTGCCTGGCCAACTTTTCTGTTTCATTGCATAACTCTGTTAACAAGGGCATATTTGACCAGATTTTTGAGCAGTTTTCTGGGAGGTAAGGCACTGGTGGCACAGGAACTACTACCATTTGTAGTCACCATCCATTTGCAGATACATGAAGACAGATACAGAGGTAGACATGTAGCAGCTGTACAGATCCACCCACATTCCAGAAATACAGCCGTGCTGTGCAGGGCACAAAGAAAGGCAGCTTGGTCTTCCTCACAGATGCTTTCCTGAGAAAGCTGCCGCTTGTATATTGCTAAAGGATTAGGGAAATGTGATGATCCCTGATACACAGGGCATGTTTTGCTTTTCTCTGAGTGGACTTTTCCTCCTGGCCAGCCTAGTGGGCAGGCAGTTGGACATGTCCACTTGCAATTGCAGCAAGTATTTCTCATAACATTTTAAAATCTCATACTTTCCAAAACCTTTTGAATGAAGAAATAACAATGTACAAAATGTTGCTTAGCAGCTGTCTCACTAGAAACACAGAAAAGTGCAAAGCACTTTCCTCAGATGAAAAGGAAATATCCTGTCAGCAAGAGAAGAGCATGACCCAGGATGGGGGCCAGACTGGATTTCTCCAGGGTATCCATATTGTTTGGAAAAAGTTTCCAATGATCTATTATACCTACTTATTTCAAAATATTTCACTCCAATTTTACACACAATTGCTTAACACTTGCTAAAATTTAGTTATGGATTATGCCAATGATTCATGAAAAATGAGAAATTTGAATCTTCCCTTTCTTTTTGAAAAGATACCTAAAATAAAAAGATACAGCTGTCCCAGAGTAGAGCAGGAAACTGCAGAGAGCACAGTGGTCGTAATAGAGTCATTGCTTTTCATCATTACTTATCAGCTTTGAAATTTAATTGAAATATTTGAATTTACAGTTAAATATTTTTCATTAAATGACCTCATAGTGTATCAATGTTTGTATGGCTAACAGTACAAATTGTATGTTCTTAGGTATCTGAAACGTAAGCTACTCGGTACTGTTGAAGGTATTTTTATTCTAACAAGTAAAATACGTATTTTTATTCTTTGAAGGCTTCCTTGAGCAAGGCTTGCTAGTTAAGGATGAAAAGAAATTACGAGATCATTACACCCAAACTGCCCAGTTCAAGCTGGATGTGCTGTCCCTTGTGCCAACAGACCTGGCATATCTGAAGGTTGGTTTGAACTACCCCGAGCTGCGATTTAACCGCCTGCTGAGGATCTCTCGTCTCTTTGAGTTTTTTGACCGTACCGAAACCAGGACAAATTATCCAAACATGTTCCGTATTGGAAATCTTGTCTTGTACATTCTTATCATCATCCACTGGAACGCGTGCATCTACTTCGCCATTTCGAAGCTGATCGGCTTCGGAACCGACACCTGGGTCTACCCCAACGTGTCCGTTCCAGAGTACGGGCGCCTGTCTAGAAAGTACATCTACAGCCTGTACTGGTCCACGCTCACGCTGACCACCATCGGAGAGACGCCTCCCCCGGTGAAGGACGAGGAGTATCTCTTTGTGGTCATCGACTTCCTGGTGGGCGTGCTGATCTTCGCCACCATCGTCGGTAACGTGGGCTCCATGATCTCCAACATGAATGCGTCCAGGGCAGAATTCCAGGCCAAGGTGGATTCCATTAAACAGTACATGCACTTCCGGAAAGTGACGAAGGATTTGGAAGCCAGGGTTATTAAGTGGTTTGATTACCTCTGGACCAACAAGAAGACAGTGGATGAGAAGGAAGTTCTCAAAAATCTGCCTGACAAGTTGAAGGCCGAAATTGCCATCAACGTCCATTTGGACACACTGAGGAAAGTCCGTATATTCCAAGATTGTGAAGCTGGACTTCTCATCGAGCTGGTGCTGAAACTGAAGCCTACGGTCTTCAGTCCTGGGGACTATATTTGCAAAAAGGGAGATATTGGGAGAGAAATGTACATTATTAAAGAGGGGAAATTGGCTGTGGTGGCAGATGATGGCATAACCCAATTCGTAGTGCTAAGCGATGGCAGCTATTTTGGTGAAATCAGCATCCTGAACATCAAAGGCAGCAAATCTGGCAACAGGAGGACAGCCAACATAAGGAGTATTGGTTATTCTGATTTGTTCTGCTTGTCTAAAGATGATTTAATGGAAGCCCTCACAGAATATCCGGAAGCCAAAAAGGCTCTAGAAGAGAAAGGGCGACAAATTCTGATGAAAGACAATTTAATAGATGAGGAAGCCGCAAAAGCAGGAGCTGACCCAAAAGACTTGGAAGAGAAAATAGAAAGACTTGAAACAGCTCTGGATACACTGCAGACTAGGTTTGCGAGGCTCATGGCGGAATATACTGCATCCCAACAAAAAGTGAAGCAGAGACTTGCCAGAGTGGAAACCCGAGTGAAAAAGTACGGTAGTGGCACCTTATCAGTCGGAGAAGGAGAGGCTGAAAAACCTGAGGAGAAAAAGCAGTAATGGAGTATTTAGATTTCCTCATTTATTGGCCAAGGTTAAAGCATGTGAAAGCCATAAATGTATGTAAATATGTGTGTGCATACATAGACCAGACTATTTTTATATGAACTCAAGAGAATGGTTTTTAGCGTTTTTAACTGAAGCAGTATTTTCTTGTAAATAGAACATTGTTACCTCCTTAGGGGAAGATTTGGTCTGGCATTTGGGTCCTTTTTTTGTACTGGGAGTGGGTTTCTTACAAGTCATGCTCAGAGCGCCTGCCGTGTACGGTACGCGCAGGTCTGCCCACGCACGTGGCATGAAGAAGGCACTGTACTTAAAGTAGAAGGGATTTGGTCTTTTTTTTTTTTAAGGGCTTAAAAAATATTTACAGGGTACATGCTCTACCTTAGCAGCTGATTAAATGCACGGATGCACATCTGGGCTTCTCAGAGTCTTTGTCCTTTCCCGGGCAGGTGCCCGTTGGCCGGCAGCTCGGCAGCAGCACGTCCCGCCAGCCACAGCCCCGCGCCAGGGCGCTCTGGGGGAGCCTGTGTGAGGAGCTGGGCTCTGCACAGAGGCCCCTGCTGATGGAGGAGCTGTGCTCGCTCACCTCCCTTCTGGCATGCTCTGCCACAGCCTTCACCCCTCTGCAGCTGCTTCGCTTGGGGAGGGAGTGGAAGGTAACCTTCATTTATTTGTTTGGCTGGGTTTTTTTAGTCCAGCCCCATCCGCACTGGTAAAACCCTCACCTGGAAGGGAGTCCCCAAAAGCCCACTGCTGGAAGGCATCTGGGACCATATGGCCTCACTGAACTGGGGAAGGGGAAAGAGCGCCCTGGTGTGTGCAGCGCCTATACGTAGGGTCTCAAGTAAATTCTCTCTCAGCAATTCTCTGGGGGGTAGCAGAGGGAGGCTACTGAGGATCTGCACCAGCTTCGTCCTGCAGCGGGGTTTCTGTGAGGCAGGGAGAACACGCTCTGTGTTGCAAAGTCATTCCTGCCACTAGGCCTGTGCTGTCTTCCTCTTTATTCCATTTAAGGCCGCCTACTCCACCTCCCTTTGGTAGTGACCACCAGGTTTTCTGGGCAGCAGCTGCTGCAGTACTATGTTCCTGGGGAGAAGGGAGGCCATGGCTGCTCACCCGACAGTCCGTGCAGAACAGCACCAGGAGGGTTTCTTTCTCCATCACAGCTCAGCTTCAGGATTTGCCTCTCACATGTCCCTCTTAGCATTCCTTACCCTGCTGCTTCCAGCTTCTTTCCAGGATTCCCTCCCTCCCACTGAGGGGATTTCTCTATCATTCTCCCACTGGGAAGATCATAGCTTTTTTGTTTTGTTTTGTTTTGTTTTTTTTTGCTGTGCAGTATTTTTTGTAGCGTAGCTTTCCCTGTGTTACTTTTGTCCTTGGGTACCTCATTGACTTCAGAAGAGTATGGAGTAGCAGAGGCTGTTCAGCGTATATGGCACAGAGGCTGGATCCTCCAGTGGCATTAGGTATTACTGTGGGCATTTCTCTGTCTTTTAGTTGTCCTCAGCCCTGACTTAAGAGCCCTAACAACTTGAGGGAATAGATGGCCTGTTGGAAAATTGGTGAGAAACCCACTGAGATGAGGATGGTAGTGGAATGAAAAGAGGAAAATTAACATTTACAAAGTTGCTTTGCTAAACCAACTGTTCAGAGTAAGCACTTGTCTCTGGCCAAGCAGCTGTCCCCCTCCCTTTGAGCTTGGTGAGGGACACAAATCTAACAGTGACTGGGAATGGGGCTTTGGTAGCAACACTGGCAAAGAGACCACCAAGTAGTAATGTCCACACGTGGCCTGTATCTAAACTCCTGTTATCATCGGTCCAAAAGGCAACTAGACTTCAACACCTACTGTAGGCTGGGCTTAACCTCTGTTAGCAAGATTTCCACTGACCATAACAAAGACTTTGGAAAGAAGTTGAGACCTATATGTGGCCAGTGGAGTTTCAGAGATTCAGCTGACTCTTGTCCCTATTTTCTCCAAGGGCTTGAGAAAACGAGGGAGGTACAAGAGGCTGATTTTGGCAGCAGTCTAGTGCCCTCGCTCCCGCACTGAGGACGGCGGGGCTGAGGGGGAGCTGGGTGCTGTTGCAGCACACTGCTGCAGGCACAGTCAGGTCACAGGCTTCTGAACTTGCAGCTCTCACCTTGTAACAGAGGCAGGTGACGTTCACTGCTGGGTTACTCAAACACCGTCTGGTAGGGGTTTCATACTTACTGTCATGCTCCACATCAGTCATCATTCTCTATAAAACCTGTCTACCCGAAGTACTACAGCTGTTCCAGCCTACTAGGTATATACAAATAGAACTGTTTAAAGTATTATTTATACTAAATTTATACCTGTTAAACCCCCACCCCCAAACAAAAGAATGCTTCTTCACCTGATGGATCAGAACAGATTAATCTCTCAGGTAAATACCTGTTTCCTTTTTCCTTTACCATTCCTCTTGGTCTGGTTTTTCACATGCCAGAAAAGAGTTATTTTGATGCTACTGGCTTCAGTCACTTCAAAGTCTTAAGCTTGTAGCATGATGAAATCACATCCTTTGACATCCTTCATCTCTGTAAGATCTTTTCCCCCCTTCTTTAATGTGGCCACAGCATGTACATTAAAATATTTTGAGTAACGTTCAAGCAGCTCTGTGTTTTCTCTTATGCATATCCCCCTGGATTTTAGCCTTTTATCATGGCAGTATTGCATGGCCCAGAAAATTGTTAGCTGGAAGAGAGATCTGAAGTGACAGAAAACCAAGTGGGAATGGTGCTTTTCTCCCCTCATTGTGGGGAGCTGGCGCATGGATTTGGTCCCATGCCCAATTTTGACACAGTCATCTCCTGTCCTCCCCTTGTGCAGCTCTGTGCAGGGTGGCACAGCAGGGATGGTCCCTCAGCCAGAGGAAGAAAGTGTTTGCAGCTTTCTGCTACATGCACACGCATCATCTACCAAAAAAATCCCGCCCAGAGCACAGGGCAACACCTGACATAGGCTGGTCCTTCAACCCCAGCACAAGAGAAAGTATGGAATGGGGCATCTCTTACAGAACCTTTGAACATAGGCCCTGGAGCTGCAAAGGCATTTGATGGCCAGAGGCCTGGCAGCAGACAGGTAGAGGAGCCGAGCCGTGCCGAAGTGGGGGGCTGTGGGGTGTCCTGGTGCTCCAAGCTGCCTCTGCTAAGCGAGACACCTGACGGACAAGGCCCGAGGTGTTTGAACATCTGCAGGTACAAAAGGAGGGCAAAGCTGGTGGAGCAGCCCCACCATGCTCCAGGTGCTGCTTGGAGCAAGGTTTTCCAGGGAAAGGGCCTCGAGTCACAGGCTCTGCTCCCTAACCACACACAATTCAATCCTTGCTGCTCTCCAAAGTGCTCTCAGCAGCAGCACCCCATCCTTTTCCCTCATCCCCTGCTGTTACCTCAACAGTTTTTACAGTAGAAAGCTCTACTCTGGAAAATTCAGTGAACTAGACAAAGCAATGGTGGCAACAGCAAAAGAGCACGTGTATTTTACAGACCCACTCACACACAGCCGAGGGTTGGGGTTGAGCTTGACTGTGCAGCTCTTTCTGCAGAAACAGCCCAGGAAAAGCACAACCCTACATTTCATTTTCTCTTAGGCATCTGGTTTAGAGTTTTATTCGAGCCAAATATTTATTAACATACAGAGAGGCCTCTGCTTTACATTAGGAAACAAACTGTTCATTCTTCTTTTGCACACAAAAGCGTTGCTGCTGTCTCAGAGCTGGTCTGGCCATTGCTGGTTTGGAAAGCACATTTGTTTCTGCAGCGCTGCTGACAGCAAGGATCAGAGGGGGTTTCACAGGCCAAACCTGGTCTGGACTGTCCAACGAGATAATGCAGTCAGGCTGACTGAAGGAGAGCTGCTTCCCATCCTGAAGACCTGTGAGATGACAGCATTTGTACTTGGCTTCAAAGTTCCCCAGCTCTTCTATTAATGCTTCCATCCTGGAACAGACAAAAAGAATCAAACCCTTGTTTGTGTAATTTAGCATTCATAAAACCCCTTCACGCATCCCTCAGAGCAAAATGAATTATGCACTAAATGGATCTGGCAACTCTACAGGCAGCTAAAGCACAGGGTTTCAGCTGTGGCAGTTTTCTCAAGGGAAGCCATGACTCCAGGAGTCCCTGTCTGCCCCCAACCCCATCCACAGCCTGGAGCCTGAGGATGCTGCTGCCTGGGGAGTCCTTAAGGGGATGATGGGGCAGCCCTGCTCCCTTCCATTCTGCCTTGGGTGGATGGGGAAGGAAACACAGGAATAACCTCTAGGGCTGAAAATGGATGGGCCTCTGTTTCTGAAATTCAGATTTTGCAACCATTTCCAGCCCAAAATCAAAGGCCAACGCTCACCCCTGCCAGCTTCCCTCGCAGCTTCGCTGTGGAAAACAAAATTCTGCTGTTCTGTGCTGGGATCCTCCCCAGTCCACACCCTAAGAGCAGAGTGAGGAGGCAAGGCTTACATTATTTAAGCAAAATCAGTTTCTGCAACATCACGAACAGGCCAGCAGGGTGTCCTCAGCTTCAAGGATGAACACAAACATTAGCTTTACTCCAGAAGCAGTAGCAGTTCCCACAAAGAGATTTTTCATCAGCCCTACCATTTCTGCTTGGCTTCTGCACTGCCAAAGGCTACAGCTCCCCTGCCAAAGGGTCTCCTCCCACGAGCTGGCCAAGGAGGACACTGTTCAGCTCGAACAGAGACCTGCCTTATTTCTGTAGGTAAGTTGGGGGTTGGTTACTAAAACCACAAGTGCAGAAACATGAAAGGAGTTTAATGGTTGCTACTCTACTTTTCTTTCCTTAACACTTGTAGAGGCTGGTGTGGGCCTTGCTCTAAGAGAGCAGCTGGAGAACAGTAACATGGAAAACTGGGAAAGGACAACTGATATTCTGGACTGACGGGCAGCTTGATGAATAACTATTATTTTCTCAGCTTTTTGTCTCTTTTGACACATCATTTCTTTAGTTTCACGGGAAGAAAAAAACCCCCACAATCATTCTATTTTCTGAGTTCTCCCCCCCTCCCTGGGGACAGCACAGCAGGAGCCAATGGGCACTACCAGCCTTTCCAGGGAAGGAGAAAGAATGAAAGGGACACCGATATTTATATTTTTTTTTTTGGCACAGCTCATCTCCTGGGCTGATGGACCAAACTGCACAGCAAAGTTCTACTCTATTTAGATTTACACTTAAAACTTTGGTAGCCAAAGGGGCACATGCCAGTCCAATGGGTGACAGGAACATCTCCAGCAGAGCATGTTCCCCTCCTCATCCATTGCTGATGCCAGGAGCAGGAGAAGCTTTG